TGTAGAAAGATGGAAATTACACAAAGTCGTGTCGTGATATTTACCCATACACCTTACATGCATTGGCATCGCCAATGGACCTTTCCCCTTATAACTAAAATTTCGATCTAGACAAAAATTTCATCACAGCTTGAAAGAGCATCACAAAATTAGTAATAATCCAAAGTTTTGTTGCAAAACTTGTAAAATGCGGATAATATAGCCTTGCGAAGTTTGCCGTTTTTTCAGTCATTTTGTATTACAAACGGGAAATTGACATCCGATTCGGGTGTTGGGGCTGCAATTTCCCGTTTGTAATGCAAAATGACTGAAAATTGCAAACTTCGCAAGGCTCTATTTTCCTCATTTTACAACATTTCGCAACGAAACTTTGGAATATTACTAATTTTGTGATACTCTTTCAAGCTGTGATGAAATATTCGTCTAGACTTGCCTAGATCAAAATTTTGGTTATAAGGGGAAAGGTCTATTGGAGCTCGACAATTGGCCTCTGTAGCTCAGATGATTAGATTCCGTTATGATCTCATACCTAGCGTATTAGCGGCTTTCCTATTAGAGACCTTAGAGAGTTTGAGCAAGACAACGAAGTCGGACGACGACGACGTGGTTGACAATTTTTGCCTGTCTTGCACATTACCTTGCGCATTCTGAGTTTAGGGTCAGGAGTGAAGACAGATTAGAGATTCAGGTCTAGCTGTTTGTGAATGCTGACCCAAATCCTTACCCTGATCAGGATAAAACAGCGAGACATGAATCCATATCCCGTCTTCGTCTTCTGCCTTCGTTCACAACGAATATTTTGGCAAAATTCGTTGTGAACTTCGTTCTGCACGAAGGCAGAAGGACAAAGACGGGATATAATTTCATGTCTCGCTGTTTTTTTCTGGATCAGGGCAAGAATTATGGTCAGTATTCATAAACAGCGACACATGGGAAGACACGTTGTGCAACCACCAGTGACGTTCAACTCAGTCTACAATATTCGTCTTCGTACTTCGTTGTCTTGCTCAAACTCTCTCTTACGATTTTAGGACGGCAACGCGACGGCGACGGCCATAACAAACTCCTTCAAATAAATGGTAGTAAAGATAGTTCGTCGTATATTATCAATCGTATGAATTTAATACAGTTTTAGAAGTTGAAGACATGGGTTTTATGGTTGGGAAGAGTTCTGATAAACCAGTTTGAAGTTGCACTTGTTGTCGCTTGAATGCAGCCGTTGTATCAAGACGTGAAAATCTGTGATTTAGCGTAACGGTTGTAAACAGAGCGAGGACAATGTCTAAATTATTCATATATTGTAATTACTCAATTCTTTTCAATCATCTATTGTATTGGTATAGCCGTTGCCGTCGCGTTGCCGTCCTAAAATCGTAAGGTCTCTATAATTGGCTACGAGGAGGTGCGTTCAATCTCGAAACAACTTGCTGACGTATGTTTAATAGGAGGGGGGTTCGAGATCGATGTTTCGGCGGCGGCCAGTTATGAAGCGATTTGAACAAATTTCAGACGAAGATTTAAATAAAAAATAAATTAACTGTTTTTAATTGTTTTATAATTATTTTTTTATTTTGTTTGATGAAAATGGAATATTCTGTATTCAAGTGGAATTTGTTCGGCACGGGCACTGGCAAGTTTATATAAATCTTGGCAATGTTTTCGCAGAATGTGTGCATTTTCTCTTTTGCACGTATAATATTATAATAAAAATAAAACATATCAGGATTAATGACAGAAATTCACACATGATCGTTAATATTTATAAATTGAAAACAACTGTAAACAACAATTTAAGGGTGGGCTATATGTTTTCGTGCAGCTATTAATTAAGGGTTGGGCTACCAAAAATGCAGACACCATATATATGATTTTCCCAGACCCCCCTTTGCTTGATGACCGATCTCTAAGTAATGTTCGAAAACGACGAAAACTTGTCCATTTTATTGGCACTATACCGACACTGGCAAAGACAGTTCAAAAAAATAAGTAATGTTGTCTGTCATTGTTTTTAGCAACTTTCCCGAAGTCATAAGATTGAAGATTGCTACAGAAGTGATGTTCGTCTGAGAGAAAATCAAACCGCGCACTGTACAAGTTATAATAACTCAGGTTATGGACAGCTTATACCAAGTGGAGATTTAAATTTTGACAAGATGGCTATGTTATCTACATCTACCTTTTCAAACATTGTACCTATGTATACCGTTTTTAAAAAAGGTATATCGAAATTTGTTTAAATAGTTTAAACGAGCAACTGAAGTTTGAAGCCCAAGAGGGTAAATTGGGCGCAGATGTTAACAAAATTTGTCCAGACACTGAAACGTTATGAGACGTATGATATTGGATACTTTTACCTATTTGGAAGACATACCGTAAATCCTGTACAGTCCCCAACCTCGTACCCAAGGCTCATGCCTCTCTCCCTCATTCCAACCTAATCTTGGATTACCCCATGTTTTCATGGGTATTATACTATTATTAAACCGATCTAGCCTCTGGCGAGGTTGGTACAGTCCCCGCGGGCACGTTTGAGGAAGGGAGTTTGTGCATAGCCTACTCTTAAAGAGTGCATCAGGCTTATTTATTTTACTGACTAGGTTTGTGCATATCAAATCGTTCCCCAGCTAGAGCAAAGGAAATGGCATTTCGGAAACTCTACATTTGAAACATTTTCCGGGGAAGCATGCCGGACCTCCCGAGAGTTTATTTATCCGTTCAATTATCCTGTCTATAAGTTTAGTATATCCTGGTATAAATATTAGATCCTGTGAGCAGGCTCTAATATTTATACCAGTGACATTGTAAAGCATGCATGAATAGTAAAATACGACAATGATATATCTTTTTTAGGAATTTGGGCGAGTCTTGAAAGCATGGTTCGAGACTGGGCGAAAAAGTACAATGTGGTTCATGTGATTACTGGAACAATATTTGATGTTGACGAGGACGGTATTAAAGACAAAGAAATTTCAACTAAACGGTAAATTCTATTTCTGTATGCAGTGCACTGTAGACCTACCCATGCACGATTTTATGCCTACCAGCTACAATCTTTGTCGGTGATTCTGCTTTACAATGCTTGTAGTTTAATTTACTTAATTAATGGTGGCCTGTGCAACAATCGTAAAGCCTGCAGCACACGAGAGCTATCTGCTGAGAAAAAAGTTACTCGTGCCTGTTAGCTCAGCCGATAGCTCACCGTGTGCGCGTACATTTACTGAGTTTTTTGCCTCATGCAACCTTTTCTCACGTATCAAACATGTTTGATCGGTGAGCTATCAGCTGAGCTAACAGGCACGAGTAACTTTCGGCTCAGCAGATAGCTCTCGTGTGCGGCAGGCTTAAAGTGATTGCGTCTGTGCACGGACTAAATTAATGGTAGTATTTTTTTAAACTCAGTCATCGCGAAAATAACTTAACCTGTAATTTTCGTTGCACAGACGAACTCACAACATGCCTGTAAACCCCGTTATTCCAACACATTTGTACAAGATTGTGACGAGATGTGAGTCAAATACGACTTCTGAGTACGAGATAGAGAAATGCAGTGGTACTATCCGTGTGATTTCCTTTATTTTACGGCATACGAAAGAACATTGTAAGGTTAGTGTCAAAATCAGTCCATTACTTAAATTTGACTCTTTAAAATCCGGATCAGACGAGGATGAGAGTGCATGAGAATTGGTAGCCTGCGTGGCTGACGGTCAGCCCGCCACAGAACACCTAAAAGGCGGGCGAGGTGAAGGAGATCGTCTGCCATTCTAGATTTGGCAATCTGCACGGTTGTTTATTTTTATTAATTTAATTTCTTTCTTGCAACAGTTTCGTTCATACGACAAGCTCATACTTCAAAATGTGGCTCCAGTCAGAGATATTGAACTTCTTTCTGGGATTAATTTCTTCTCCAAGCTTCCAGCACAACTACAAGTAGAACTCAAGACATTTATTCCTGTTCAACTGTGGTCTTAATTTATTCAAAGGTATCATGGGTGGTATAAAATAACCTCATGCTTAGATAAATTAGGGTTATAAACCCCACAAGAAGAATACAAAACTTTAACTTACAGTACTAAACTTTTTTAAGAATTAAAGGCCAATTTATTAAAACTTGAAATAATGACTATCCGGTGACGGTGAGTAGCGTTATAATATGCTCCTTGCATCAAATTTTTACACTCCTCAGGTAACCTAACAGTATTTTCAACGTACGAAGTGCGAGAACGAAAAAACTATGAATTTTAAGCCAAATTATATAATGGCACAATGGAGGCCTGCCACAGGGGCCCCAACTATGACCTATTATATCAATATGTTAACCCATATATAATTTCTATACAGTTACATTCATAAAGTGCATAAACGCGCGTGAATAAAGCTCCATACAGTTGTATCAAAGCGGTCAGTCCACGAAACACGCGGAAGCGAGAAAACGCGCGAGGGAAAATACGACAAAAGAAAGCGACTGCTACCCGCCATCTTTTCAAAAATCTGAAACCTTATATTATCATACTGCGAAATCCCAGAGATCCAATTCTAGCGAATCCTTACTGGCATCAATTTGGTATAAGGTGTCAATTACCGCAAACGCGATCTGGGAACGAAATCAATGTGTACACCGACCATCAATGATGTGTGCTCGACAGTCGACGGTTTCGAAATTCGCGTCATCGTCACGGAGTTGCCGTCCCACATCGTAACGTCTCTATTAAGACTTTTTGGAAACTGACAACTATTTCCTGATTGGGGAGCAAACATATTAAGTATATAATATTAAGTATATAAAATTAAGAACGAAAATATTGTAAGAAGGAGAAAGTTCACCATACATAGGGTAATTCAGATTGGAACAACCTTTGGTTTACTGTATGTTGAGATTTCGTCTCTTACATTCAGCTCTGTTTGAAAGTTATTGGAATTAGAAATTAAGAATATTTCGGTTTAAGTTCATAAAAAAAACCCCAAAAACATCTTCATAGACAGGAGAGTGGACATCAGAACAACCCCAATACACGCTTCCGGAAAGTACGGAAAGTACGTCACCTTGGCTATAGAGCCTCGTTTTCGTGATTGAGACGTTTGGCTTTAACTAATGTCACATACACGAAAACGAGACTCTATACCAAGGCGACGTATTTTCCGGAAAGGTGTATTCTTGTTGTTTGACGAGAACTTCGTGCTGCAAGATCAGTGTGAGCAATAATACGAGTTGGACCACCGCTGCCACCCTTGATCTTCATCGGCATTACGTAGACAGTAGCGCCTTTTACTGGGAGTTTGTCAATATTATCAAGATTGTTGCCCAAAAAGATTTGCTGGATAAGTGTTAGTTGAATTTGGTCAAAAGAACGTCCATGCATCAATGCAAACATCTTTTATCTTGCGATTGTCAACTACCACTGAGCTCAAGGAGGACTGGATTAAAAAACTGTGTTTGTATCAGTTTGTGACGTCAAGGTAATCTTTAACACATCTGACAAAATGCAAGATGATTAATCTTTAACACATCTGACAAAATGCAAGATGATTTTAAAGTTTTTTGCTTCCTTACACGAGCGCTATGATGCAAAATGCTACCAAAATTAGATGCCATTTTCGGGTGACGTCCGTGTTAACGTGAATGTCGGGCCTTTATTTTTTTCGCCTATTAAAAGCTCAAAGGTGAAAATCGGGCGGAGGAGAGACGCGCGGGCAAAAAGGTGAATGTTGACAAAAACGTCCCTTGCTCAAGCTCGCTAATAAATGTCATGTCGGGGACATCTTAATAATGCATCAACCATATATTTATACAAGCATGAGAAAATCTTTCTGAACACGAGGGAAATGGGCAA